AATCAAAGGTTGTTTTTTGTCAAGCATGCCTTCAGTTGTAAAGCCAGTTCAGTCCCTATGTGTTCAAACAAGTTTTCATTGGGGCTGGTTTTCTCCTTCAGAGAGGAGATGCTGGAATCAGGAGTACCCAGTGCAGGGTGTATGTGATAAGGATATAATTTATCATCCCAAGTCTCTACATGAGATGACTTTTTTCTAAATTTTCTGACTGCAGAGCCTGAATTTTCTCTATATATTTCTGTGCATAAGTTGAATTTTGGGAATGCTCTCACTGCCTGGCAGCAGACACACAGTTCTGATGGGTGTGTTTGTTTCTTTTCCTGTCCTTCCTCCCAATCCTTTCTCCCTCCAGCAAATTGAAGAATTTTCTGACGTTAACGAAGGAGAGAAAGAAGTGATGAAATTATGGAATCTTCATGTTATGAAGCACGGGTATGTTGCTGTGCTTAGTTTTGATGCAAATAAATTACAGATGTGGTTGATCATTTTGCATTGCAATTCACTAAATACTTAAAATTCAGTTAGCCCAGGTGTTTAGGAAAGGATCATTAAAGGATAATTTAATGAGAGTTTAAGCTTTTAAAGTTCTTGTGCCTAGTAGACCTTGGGCTTTGAAGAGAAAAAAACATTGGAGATGTTGTGTAATAAACCACGTAGAGTATCTTTTTATCTTTGAAAACATCCTACCTGCATAGTGACAGTTTTTTCATTTGACAGGTTTATTGCTGACAATCAAATGAATCATGCCTGTATGCTGTTTGTGGAAAACTATGGACAGAAAATCATCAAGAAGAACTTGTGTCGAAACTTTATGCTCCACCTGGTCAGCATGCATGACTTTAACCTCATCAGCATCATGTCCATAGACAAAGCTGTGGCCAGGCTCCGAGAGATGCAGCAGAAGCTGGAGAAGGGAGAATCGGCCTCCCCGACGGACGAGGAATCTTCTGAGGAACAGAGTGGGACAACAAATGGATACAGTGAAAATACCGCGAGAGAGAGGATTTCAGAAGTGGAAAGCATCTCAGGTGTCACGAAACAGAGCAAGAAACAGAAGCTCTGAAGTCAAAAAAATTTGTCATTCAACGGACAAAGCATTGAAGTGACATTCTAAGGGTGCATGAGCTCCATAAAGAATTACACACAGAAGTACAGAGATTCCAAACAGGCACTGCTGGATGGAAATAAATGATTTCAACAAGGATATTGTTTAAACAGGGTTTTTATTCAGTTACTTATGCAAGTACTACATGTATATTGGTTTTGGTGATGTAATGACAATATTCTAAGAGTTTGAGCATGAAGAGCAATATGAAAATCTTTTTGTAATTTTAGTAATTAGTGTCTTAAGAACTTTATGGAATTTACATAATTTAAGTATATGTAAAACCGTTTTTATATTAAGATTTTTGCATCTGTATCTGGCTGTTTTTCCTACCATGAAGTTGTGAAACATTAGGGAAAGGGGATTGGGATACAGTTTCTGCTTTTCTGATTTAGAAATTCTCCAGTTAGCTTTTTGTGAAAATAACGTCTTACTATTTACAGTTTAACCTTGATCCTTGTATTTGAAATCATTTATCAATTGACCATAAATTACCAATTAATTTTTTTTTTTTTTTTTTTACACTAAAAATTCTCCAAGTCGGCGAACTTAGCACTTCCTTTGTCTTGTGCCTGTTTGGAAGGATCTTGGCTTTTCACGTTGCAGACACAGTGAAGTCCCACCTTGGCTTTTTTGAGGTTCCCAGCAGTTTGGGTTTCGTGGATAATTCCGATGTATCGATCGCCCAGTGTACCATTTTTAAACTTGAACATTAGCTCCTTTCTATTTTTTAATTCCACATTTACACAGCTACAGCAAGGATCTGATGGAACCCCTCTCTTGCCTGGGGGTTGCACATCCTGGTGTGCCATGCTAAGGCCGGAGGCTCCTGTCCCTCTGCAGGCATTCCGTCGCCAACTTCCCGGGAAGTTCTTGCCTGAGGACAGACTGCAAGGGTTTAGCTTTGGCTTTCGAGATGCCACTCTTGAGGGAAAAATGCACTGTAAAATTGGACCAGAAAATGTGTTGCACTTCTTATGTAAGTATTCTGTGATGTATTGTATTCAATACAGATACTAAGATGCTGACTAGACTATATTTGAGCAGTTTTGCACTGCTGTTAACACATTTTATGCATACGTTTACAGATTTTTTCCAATGGAAAGTGGTTTCACTACTGGTACAGTATCAGCACCGAAGGGTTTATTCCAGCAAGCACTGTGGTTGAGTGACATCACCTCAATTTTTTATTATCCTTAAAATATTTCATTTTTCATATTCTTTATTTATAAAGGAAACAATGCTGCTGTAAATACAGGTTTGTTTGGGTTTTTTTCGTTTTTTTTTTATTTCATTCCATCACCATGAGATGCAGTTCCCTATTTGTTGAAGGGGTATATAAGCTTTCTAATGGTGTCTTCAGAAATTTATAAAATGTAAATACTGATTTTGATGGTCCTTAAGATGTGTTTAACTGTGAGACTATTTAACTAATGGTGTGGATGTGATTTGTCATCCAGTATTAAGTTCTTAGTCACTGATTTTGTGTACAAAATAGGAAAGAGGGAAACTGCAGCTTTCATTACAAACTTCTTGAATTTGCCAGCTCTCTGAGTTTTAGCAAACTCTAATTACGCCTCTGGATAGTACATCATGCATTTCTCTCTGGCTTTAATTTGCTAAAGCTGTGCACATATGTAAAAAAATAGATTATTTTAGGGGAGATGTAGTTCTAGAATTATTGCTTATGTCATTTCTTAAGCAGTTATGCTCTTAATGCTTAAAAGAAGGCTAGCATTGTTTGCACAAAAAGTTGGTGATCCCCCCAAAAATAGTAATGAAATTACTTCTGTTCAGTAAACTTTGTATGTCATGTCAATTTATAATAAAAGCTGAAAAAATCCCCTTGTTTTCTATTTATAAAGATGCCTTTTCTATATGTACCTTTGCAGATGCCATGTAAGCTGGTTAAAAGGAATTTGAACGGTACAGTAGATGTAAAAAAACCAAACCCCAAACAAACAAACAAAAAACCCAACCAAAACAAGTTCAGTTGTTGAAATGAACCATTGTTTTTCATTAAATGTTTTATTTGAAATCAGCTTTTGTACATAAAGTTCAGTAATACGAAACCTGCCATGATGGGTGTCCAGTCATTCTGTGCAGAGGCCTCGAGCAGCACCTGCACAAACTTCTGTTCTGCAGGACTTCTAAGATTTGGATACATGTTCTTCCTGTGCCAGATTGTTCCAGCTCTATTTAAGGTACCTCCATAAATTTCCAGGATTTTAGCCAGATTATAACAACTTTCATTCTCCTTTCTTGGGGTAGAGCTGAATACCCAAGATGGATCTTTAAGTTGTGCTTTACTGTTTAGAACTGTGATTTATAGAACTGCAAATGAAACACATCCCTGGGGATGGCAGTTATAGAACTAAGACTTGGGTAATTTTTACATGCAAGTGGTTAATGTTTCAAACATTTTATAAAATAGTTTATATGGAGCGAAGTTTGAATTGGTGTTGGCTTAAAATATCCCCTCTGTGGGACGGCAGAGGACGGATTCTCCAGGTACTGTGGGACAAAACAAGGTAGGAATTACATTGCTTGGCCAAGTGACTGTGGAATGGCAGACCTGGAAACCTTCTCCTGTGTTGGGAATAATTCAGTGCAGGATGAGGCTGCTGTAGGCCAGTACATTCTCATCTCTCACAGTGTCAAGGTTCTCGTCTGGCCTTTGGTGTGTCCATGGCAGGTTTTACTGATGTTTTGTATTTGCTGATCACAAAGGGTCTGTGACCCCCAAGCTGGAACCTAACCTGATTTGAATATTTAATTCAATGCATAAAATACTATATTCAAAGGTGTTAGATGGATTGGAGTTGTTCACCTTCAGTGTACAGTGTATCTTGAATGTAGTCCTTGAGTTTTGGGGGGGTGGGGTAAGGGATTCCCTGCCTGGAATGAAGCAGTTGCCAACAATTTGAACTGTTCTGATTATTTACCTAATCAACAAAACCAAACCCCCAAACCAGCAGTGTGATTTTACCTTTGGCAATACAGCAGCCATTCTGTGAGGGCAATTTTGACAATGCTGTTCCAAGTGAAGTATTTCTTAATTCACAGAAGTTTGGTGCCATCATGGAGCAGCGCTCGGGTGGAGGTGTTCCCGTGGGACCAGACCCTGTTACAGATCTGACACTGTGGTTTCACATCAGGGAAAACAAAGGCTTTGGAGGAGGTAAGTCCTTCCCTGAGTCTTTCCTGCTTTAGGCTGCTTGATCTGAGAGAGAAGCTGCAACTCCTGAGGAGAAACACCCGGCCCCTCGTCATGACGAACATTCATGTGAGTGATGTTTATGAGGGAGAGCTGCCAAGTCAGAAACGTTCCTTACTGCTTTCACAAGTTACTTCTCCTTTAAAAGGGACCAAATAACTGGAACAGGCTCCAGGTAAAGCAGAACTAAGGGAATGAAGTAAATCTGTGTGTTAGTCCAACATGGACTTTGTTTGAAGGTGATTAAATAGCTCTGCTGCTCCCTCAGTAACACTGGCCAAAAACTGCTGCTGGGTAAGAGCTGCACCAGTGAATGCACCAGGAAGAGATGGGAACAGTAAAATGGAGAAGAGACAGGTCAGCCTTGATGGAATACTGAGAGAAGGACTTTATAGATGCTGTAACAAATTTTATAAAAAGAAGGGGGAAATTATTTTTGTGAGAAATGTCAGTTAGAATCTGAACTTCAGCTGGAAATAAAGGGAAGTGCACAGGTGAGAAACGTGGAAAGAAAGTGTTCAGGACTTCTGAGAGACAGAAGATGAAAAAAATGGAAAAAAAATTTAATGGAGAGAAGCTCTTAAAGATGGGTGCAGTGCTCTAGAAAACATGTTCTTGTATTGTTAGAACACCATGATGCTCAGCTTTATGCCCCAATAAATAACTTCCTAGACCAGACACGGTTAAGGGATAAAACTTTATTTAAAAAAAAATTCAAATTTCACTTGACACATAAGTCTTAGTTGAGGTAAGTGACTGTACTAGCTTAGGAAAACAACGGTTGGGGTCGGGTTTCTAAGCCGTTAACACTCTGTTGCTCGCAGGGCTCCAAGAGCCAGAGGTGCAAATTGTACAGCAAGTGTCAAGTTTTCCATCCAGCTGAACTCTGCTGTGGAAGAACGGGATTTGCACCCTTTAGTTCAAGCCTCTTCCACTTCTTGAGTGCTTTGTTCCTTCAGTGCTGGCTCTCTTGCCCTGAGACTCTTGGCTCCTGCCCCGTTCACAAGGTGCGGCTGCAAGAGGTGGCTCCAAGTACCTCATTTGCAATTTGGACAGTGAGGCTTGCGCTGAGTTAAAATAAAAAACAAAACCACCACAAGAACAACAACAGAAGAACCCACCACTGGCAAACTGCCCTTGTTCAACATCCAGCTAAAGCCTGAAGGCAGAAAACTCTTCTGAGCCGCCCTCAGCTCTCCAGGGCAGCAGCTGGGGCCTCTCATGGCCCTTCACAGTCATTTCAGCTGCTTTTACTTGTGTTCTGAACAAACTGACACGGCCTTGCCACCTCTGGAAGTACCTGAATTCAAGGATTAAGCTTTATTTTCTAATATGTAAGTAAATATCCTGCAAAATCTACAGCCCCTCCAAAAGCAGATGCAAAGGTACCTGACCTGGCGGTACCTCACAAATGTGGATATTCACAATTTTAGTTTCCACGTGGTAAAAGTACTAAGTTCCAACTAGTACCTGATACCTGAAGTGTGTAAGTAAAACTGCCAGCACTACTACATGGAGCAAGATCTAAGTCTGCTGCTACCTGGAGTCCCAGCCCAACCCTCTCTGAGCAGGGCTGGCACTGTTTCATCTACTAAACCTTATTATAGTAATAAAGTCTGGAAAATACTCTTCACAGGGGAATTAAAGGAACACTGAAAGCACAGGATAAGCCAGTATCCTCTCAATCCCTAACACTGAAATAGCTGAGCTTGAAAAACTAAGAGTACTGCAGGCTTTTTGTTGCTAACACTGGATAGTCTGACCTGAAGGGAGTCCAGTCTTCCTCACTTCATGTCTTAAAGCAAATTCCAACCTAACTCTGCCATATGAGGTTCTTTGCACCCATCTGAATCTACACACATTTTCCTGTAAATGGTGTAAACACCAACAGCCATTTTTGTCTGAAATTCTTGTACCCTGCTACAGATGCTTGGGGAAAAATGCAGGCAGGGTGGCTGATCTTTTTGTACTGACAGTGTGAGGATGGGGGATGTTAATTCAATGTAAAATAAGCTTTTTATGCTTTAAGCTTATTATGGTGTAACATAGAGGGTGTAACATAGTGCCACTGAAAGAAAAAGGGCAGTATGATTGTCTAGGCTTTATAAAAAATATTGCTATTCTAACATAAAATATATTTAATTTTAATTGAACTTGAGGTAAGAAGCCCCTCAGTGAGTATTACTTTAATATAATCTTTAAATCCAGTAACACTGCAGTCTTTTGACCAGGAACAGGCTCTTTGATAAGCTCATTCTCAATCTTAGTTGCTCCTTGGAGGAAACAGGTGTAACTTTATGTAATTTCTGAACTCAAAGTCATTTATCTCATACTAATTCCTTATCCCACCCTACTCCCGGAGGGGACAGCTGAATTACCACCCTCTGTTCAGTTCTCTCTGCAGGTGGGGTCTGTCTGAAGCCCCTGCCCCTTATGTCAGGTGGATCTCCAGCAGCAGTCCCAGCTTGGAGCACACACCTGCACTCCTGCCCGTGACTGGGCATTCCCAGGCAGCAATTTGGGATTGCCAGGAATCCCTCCCATCAGAACAGGCACTGCCATCGTCTCTGTAGCTGGACAGTAGAGAGAAGTGCTGAGTGTCAGGAGGGCTCTGAGGAATCACAGCTGCCAATCCACACATCAAGCCCAGGTACCAAACCCCTGACACTTGCTGGGGCAGAGGCTGCACAGGAATTGTAAGTGGGGAAGACTTTCAGAGCAGATCAGGATCACGCCCCGCTCCGGGACTTGATCTGGCTGAGGCAATGTGAGCATCACCATGCAGCTACTCTAGAAAACATATTCCAAGTGACAACACAGACAACAGTTCAAGAAATACCACAATAAGGCACTTGAGTGATGCAGTAACAGGCTGGCTCCATGTCTGGACAGGCTGGCTCAGCGTCCCTGCTCCCGAGGGACGAGCGGTACCGTGCGGGGAAAGGGCTGCAGGCAGAGCCCACTGTCCATTCCCTCCTAAGGCAGCAGCGTGTACAGGGAAGCATAGCAGGACTCTGCTCTCAATACTGTGCTCTCTCTGGGTGGTATAAATACAACTTTGGTCCACTACCACCCCCAAATGCTCATCTCACAAAGTTAACTCTACACAACACACGTACCCTGAGACGAGAGTACAATGAAATACTGACACAAATCAAGTCTGGAGGAAGAAAGGGAAAGTCTGATGGACTGCTTAAATTAATTTGCCTAAGCAAATGCCTGCTTCTGGCTTTTTCCAGAGTAACAAATCCAATGTTTCACAATTATTGTTTAAATGAATCCAGTAGGAAGTACAATATAGTGGAGTTCAAGTACTATAAAGACAGGTTTTTGTTACCAGATTGTTGTCAAACAGCTGGAAACCCAGGTTTTAACGTTACGCTTTACAGCAAGAACAAAAATCCCCTTTAGTCACCGCTAAAACACCAAAACCTTCCAGCCTGGGTATGAAAATGAACACCCAAAATACAAAGAGCCACAGCACTGATCAAGTACCCAGTCAAAGACCACTTCTCTGTTGTTGGAGCTGATGGTCACTCGGAGCTTGAAGTTTCCTCCCTCGTTGCTGCAGGGCCCCAACTGCACAACTTCCATGTCGAACGTCACGGTGGAGCCCGAGGTGACAGCAGGCAGCTGGTTTGTCATCTCCTTCCCGTTCACAAACACTGCCCCTGAAACAGTCAGCATGTCTAACAGCATTCCTCACTTTCTCCCTGTTTTTTGCAGGCAAACGGGGAAGTAACCTCGCTGCATGTGGTGCTACACATCAAGCAGGCTGCATGAACTGCGAGCAGGAGATCTGGGATCTCACCCAAGATTTTTAACTGCACCAGCAGCATCTACATAAGAGTTGCTCGTCCGTTCCCCAGGGATGTAAAGAACCCGGGGCTGTGTGTTTTGGGCAGGAATCCCACGCTCCAGACTCACCATTGGTGCTGATGCACACGGCTTTGTCCCGCTGCAGGGAGTCAAAGCCGTTCTGCTGCTCCACACACACCCCCAGGCTGTCCCGCCGGTCTGGCTGACCCACGGTTTCAATCCTGCCAAGCAAAAGGTTAAGTCAGACCCTGAAGCTTTAAATGAAAACATACCCCGACATCCAGACTGTCCACCAAACCCCTGTTCTGTGTGTTCAACAAAGTCATCCAAACTTTTAGGGAGATTGGCCAAAAAGACCAAAATTCCTACCAGTTTTCCCAGCAGCTCCACTGAGCAACAATATTAATCTGTACAAAGCATAAACATGCTTCCTGCAGACCTTCAGTGCTACTTAATAATTTTTTCCACTGTCACAGCTTAGAAATGATCTTCAGAAATGATTTCCAGTTGTCTGAAGGAACCAATACACACAAATCTGCAATCAGCTACACCAGGTTACTGGGCAACATCACACATTATGGCCAGACAGCTGGAGTTTCAGCAAGGATTTACTAAACACAACTTAAATGGGTTTTTTGAGCCCTGCCATGTTCTGCTATAATGGGGTGAGGGTGTTGGGTTGGGCTTTTTTAATAAATCAGCTCGATGCAGATGTGTGCTAAAAGCAATGCCTAGAAGAGCATTTACAAGTCTGGCTTCTGCTCAGCTGCATTTAGGATTGCAGGCTGGGCAAGACTCTCTGAAGAAAATGCAAACAAGTTGTGCAAATGAGCAGGGACTCAGTTCCCTCTGGGCCCCAGGGGCTGCACAGTTTGTACACCCAAGGGCTCTTCTGCATTTGAATCCTTTCTCTTGTACTGCCACCTCTCAAAGGTGCTAAATCCTACTTTGGAGAGAGCCTGAGTGACTCAGGAAACTCAGGTGGTCTTTTCTAGAAAGTAAACCAGTGGTTATTTTCACTGCAGTTTGAGAGACCAGCACTGATACATGGTTGTAGCCAAACAACAGGAAAACTTCAGCAAAGTTTTCAAGAACCAGCAGTTAAAGTGGGCAGTGAACTGGCACACAAGGGGTTAACTCCTTCGAGACAAACAGGGACGATAAAATTGGAACCATGTTTTACTTTTGCACTCCATTAGGTTTTCCAGTCCCCTGGGAATGTCACTAAGAGAGAAAAAAAAAAAGCAGAGGAAAAAAAATCTCAAAGAAGCTTTTGCTTTGGAAGGGATTCACAGTGTTTTCACAAAGCAACTTTAAATGAGATTTCAAATTCATTTTGTTGCTCTGCTTTAGATTTTAAACTTGAGTTACTGGTGAAGCTTCATAAACAGCCTTTTATCTGTAAACTCTGTGCAGAAGGTAACACTGATTCATTCCATCCCTTAGTTAAAGGAGCATTTCCCGAGTTTTGGGTTGGACATAAGTGTTTGCACAGTCACAAGAATCACCAAAAATGCATAACCATAAACCCACTATGATTGTGATCCCTGGCAGTTAAAATTTTTAAGAGTCCCCAGAATATGTGGTGGGAATGCTGCTCAGTGGGACAGGGTTCAATCCCTTCTCCCACCCCAAATGCTGGACAACAAGGCCTGGCTCTGTCCCTGCAGCACAGGCACTGACCCAGTCACCCACCCCCAGCTGGCCTTTGCCTCAGAGCACAGAGAAGTCAGCCTGGGGGGGATCCAGGGGCTCCCTCTGTGTCAGCAGGGTTGGGGGAGGTTCCTGACAAAGTCAGTGGGATCATCACAGGGCACCTGCTGGGAGATCCCAAAGCACCAGCCTGGACAGAGGGACTGTGGCTCTCCACTGCAAACAAAGCCTTAGAGAGATGCAGAGCACATCACTGTGGAGAAACATTCCCCTTCCCAAGGGCAGCTCCCTGAGGGCTGCAAAGGAACAGGATGAGACTTGACCTCAAGCAGTGATGTTTTCCCACAGCTCATCCAAATGTTTCACCTCGGGACAACTGTCACAGTCTGGCTTTAAAAAGCAGATCCAAAGCACTGTGTTTGTCACAGCTTCTCTTTCCAACTGACTTTCCACCCTGTGCCTGGGACCTGAACACAGAGAACACAAACATCTGAGCAGAACCTCGCTCTCCTGGTCTGCTCTGCAAGCCCCTCATCCCTGCAGAGTAACTCCTTTGTGTCCCAGCAGATGGAGAAAGCCAAGCACCGAGTGCTGCATCTCCCTGCTCAGCAAAATCTCTCACACTTCCACACAAGGAGCTCCTCTTGGACCTTGGAAGAGGAACACAACCCATTTCCAATCTTAAGATTCCTGTCACAGCAGTTCTTGTGGACAGTTGCTTGTTTGTGCTCTGCCATCCTGAAACAATCTCCCCTTGGAGGGAAGGCCACGTTACCAAAATGTGAAGCAAAAGATTTTCATGTGCTACCAATAAAAAAAGATAAAAGGCACTGGTCCGAGAGGGAACCGAGGGAAACCTCAGGGTTCTGCCTTTAATTTCACAGGCATTTCTAAGCCAAGAGAAGTTAAATCTAGCAACAGATTTCAAATGAAAGCTTTAGATCTTTTTATCCCATCTCAGACAGGGCAACTGAACACATCCTCACACTACAACCACCTGAAGTTCAGATAATCCATTATCAGGAAGGGCAAAATGAAACACCCCCTTCTACTTGCCTTTGGGGGTTGTCTGCTGTACAGCAAGTAGTTTTACTTAACCAGGGAAAGATGAAATAAAGCTTCAGAGTCTCTGAGGTCTCTAATTACAACTGAGATATCCACAAGGACATTCCTCATACCCCGTTAAACAGCATCATCTCGGGGACAGGAGGACAGGCAGCAAAGCTGCCAAGGGTTTTAATCATGTTCTGTGTCAAATGGAAAGCTTAAATTTCACAAGATCCCTTCCCCACTCTGGATTTTCTAATGGCAGTTTCAAGCAGTGCCCTGACCAGCAGTAATTATATCAGACATTAAAAACATTGGTGCCAGACTGTCATCCCAACAGCACACCCAAGGTTTTCAAGTCCAAAGCCTGTGGACAGTCTGGGAAGGAGAGCACTGCCTGGCCCAAGGTTAAACAGCAAAGCTCCACTGCCTTCAGCCAGGAACAGCTGCTACAAACTCCAGGAAGTTCAACATTCCAGACATTCGCTCAGCACGGGCTGTATTTTACCATCCCTCAGGAGTTCACTCATCTCTGTTTTACAGAAGTGCAAGTCCTACACAAACATCAGGTGTTTTCCTACAAAGCCAGGCAGGAGAAGGAACTGAGCCCTCACACAGACACTCCACCTCAACGGGGCTGAGCTGATGTACAGCTCAAACACGCCCCAGGGCTACACACAGCTCAGGTGTGACAGCTCAGGGGGTGCACCAGACAACAGCCACCCAAGAAGTACTTGCCTGAAGGTCAAGGTTTGCCCACAGAAATAGGTGGGAGCTTTCGAGTAGAGGACCCCACACGACTGGGAATCATTCCGAAGCGCGATGTTCCTCCGACTGCTCAGGCTGTAACCCTCCAAACCAGCTGTCCACTCTTCAAAGAAAACAAACAAAACCCATGAAAAGTGTGAATCCCAACTCAACTCTCCTGTCTGTGCAAACTCAAGTCAGTCACAACGTCCACTCAGCCCACCTCAGATGCAGCTTAAGCTACACTAAAAACAGGAGCTGGGTTTGCCTTTTCCTGATGGAGAGATTTGTTTTTCAAATAAACTGCAGCTACAAAAAGTATTTCCCAGCTCAGAGTTCGCCAGAAGTTCAATTTGCTGCAATCCCTGCCAAGTGATACTGCAGGCAAAGGAAAACCTTCGTCACCCACTGCTCTTAAAAATTTGTGAGTGAAGAGAATATTTAGGTTTTTCCCTCTCCAAGATAAGAGCTTGTTGGGAGCTGTAGGTCATCAAAAATGCTTAGGTTAGGGTGGAGGAGAAGGAAAAGTAATGCTTTACTTCTGGCTCACTGATGCTTTCAAAGGCTAAGCAGTGAATGAAAGGCTCGCTGAGTGTCCCTCACGGTGGGAAGCAAAGAATGAATTCAGGATGGAGGGACAGTTCATTGTGTTACACACACCCCCCACAGCCAAGGACACCCCTCAGCACACCAAAAGCAGCTCCATCCAGCTGAGGACCTGCAGGAGTTGGCTCTCCAAGGGTTTGGGATGAGCAGCAGCCAGGGCAGTACCGTGTGGCACCAGCGTGGTGCGGCCGAGCTGGGGGACACTCCAGGGGCTCCACTCCTGCCGCCCGTCCCCGCGGGCGCACACCCGGAACTGGTAATCCACGTTGGGGTCGAGGTGCAGCACCATGAACTCCGTCTCCGAGCCCACGTACACGTCCTCGAAGGGGCTGGCGGTGCCCTTGCGGAACTGCAGCCGGTAATCCTGGGGGGTGAAGTCCTCGTCCACCTGCAGAACAGCCACTGCCCTCAGAAAGGGCCCCTCGGCTCTGCCCTTTGCCCCTGCAGGGGCACATTTGAGGGTGGAGCTGCAGGTGACCAACCCACGAGGTATTTCTGTGCCTTATGGGAAACAACATCAGTGTCCGAACCAACTGATACCAAAAGAAGTACCACAATTACTCAATTACAGTTTAAAAGTATCTACAGGAGAAGAAACATTTAAAAGAAGACTTTTCAATCTAGCAAGATATATTATTACGTATCTGGCTAGACTGTGCAGATGCAATTAAAATATAGATACATCTGGCTAGACTGTGCAGATGCAATTAAAATATAGCTACATCTGGCTAGATTATATACAGATACAATTAAAATATAGATACATCTGGCTAGATTGTGTAGATACAATTAAAATATAGCTACATCTGGCTAGACTATGCAGATACAGTTAAAAT